AAAATAATATTAATTTAATAAATTTTGATGATTGATTAATTAATTAATAAAAAAATATTGAAAAATTTTAATTTTTTAAATAAATAGATCAACTCGACTCAATCAAGACTTCTATTGATAAGTCATGCGTCCATCGCCTTTAACACAAAATCTAAAATAACCCAACGGTAATAAATTTGAAATCCTAAGCCTGACTTGTTTAACTAGTTTATTGAGGTTTGATGGAACACTCCCACTTAAGGAATTGTTATCAAACGTCTGCAGCCAAAACAATAACTTCTTCAGTCAAACCCACAATAAAATCTAATTCCAACAATAATCTCATTAAGAATCTGCTTGAGCTTGTGATCTAGATACTCACACCACCTGCAAAGATAGCACAAGTCCAAGGGTTGAAGGGATAGGGCCAACGAGGTTGTTTCTGTCAAATAACCTGGCAGAAAGAAAAAGGAAAAATGAAGGCTTTCAAACATATCATAATCCAGTCTGTGATTTGATGAAAACTGAAAAGGAAAAAATAGGAATTGGACCAATGAAACCACAACGATTAAGGTATCTGTCACAGCAGTACAAAAGCAGGTTTGAAGAGAATGGTAAACAATAAATTCTCCATAAAGAGAAGACCCAAAAAAAGGGGTTAATTAGAGTAGGTGATTTCCAAATTTGTTAGCTTCTTTAAATTCCCAATTGATGCTGGAAGAGGTCCTGTCAGTCCCTGGTTCTGAGATAGATCCCTGCATAAAGAAGATAGATCTGAGACATATCGATACTCTCATTATCCTCCACCAGGCAATGGAGAAGGTAGGTAGTTTCTTCGTGTTCTCTATTATAATCACCACTAAAATTTTTGTATATAATGCCTAAAGACAATGTGTTTCACTTAAGCCTTAGATTTAAGTGGATCTTTAGATATCTGAGCAATGCAATTGCATAAATGATTATTGTCTTAAATGGAGAAGGAACAAGCTAGTTTTGAAACAACTCCCATGTGAACTTCAGACAGAGGGCCTACAAAATGTGTAATTCAATTAAGGGTGAAATGTGATCAGACAGCTGCCCTTCCAAGCCCATGCTTCCCAAGAACCAAAATAACAGAAAATCTTCTCATCCAAATTAATCCCAAATCTCATCGCTTTGAACTGTCAAACCCACTACAAAACCTCCAACATGTCCAGTAGAGTTTGTGTGCAATCAACCTGAATATTCTACAGTAAATAAATGCGAATCATACCAAAAGGGTTGCTCTCTATGCTTGGTCTTTCTGCCTTCTTCTTTTGACGAAAAGCATAAACCCCAGCAAGCAGTGAAAGTAGCAGAAGTAAAGAGCCACCACCAACTGCTCCGAAAATGATGCCAGTAGTTGATATTTTGGAGTTTTTAGGTTCATCTGAAGAGACCACATTGAGCATAAAAAGTGTGGCATAACGTCGAATAAAGCTAAATTTTACGGTTCTATAATAATTGTGTAGATACCTGGAAAGTAGTTGTCAACATCACCACTGAAAAAATAAGATCCATAAAGAGTATATGGTGGTGGGAAATAAGACAAGCTGCTAAATGCATATGCAATCATAGAAACTCCTGCTCGATTGAAACTAGCTTGGCCGTATGGAAAGACATTAAGGTTCAATAGAAGAAATTTAGAAGAATCCATTCTTGGATTACTTAGTGAAACTGAATCAACAGGAAATTGATTGGACTTGAAGAACTGCATCAAAGAATCCTGTAGAGCTCTATATGTGGTTTGGTTCCCCAAGTCTGAGAAGAAAATTACTCTAAAATATAGAGTTCCTGTATATGGATGTGCACACATGCATGTGGGGCTATAAACCTGGTCTGAACTACATGTAGGAGGCGGGCAGATGTTGAGAGGGGTAGTAAACAAGGATGTGGAATTTGATTGTGGTAGTGGTACACAGTAATTTTCTGTTATACCTGTCTCTTGACAAATGGGGTTACCAGCAAGTCTGCACAAATTAATAAAATTCAGTGAGCAAAGAAAGACATTTAGAAGCTTTAACACTTAAACAGGATACGTTTAAAGGCAATTTGACCTCCAAGTAATAAGAGCCAAGATCTTAAGCAAAAACAAATTAATGGAGAAAAAAAACCCAGAAGAAATGATTCTCTCACTTTATCTCAATGTTTTGTGCTCCTGTTTCCGTAAACTCAGTAATGTCATTATTCTGCAAATCTACGAGCCTCAGCTGGTTGCTAAATTTCGTGCTTATATACAAAGTGCCATTTAACTGGTTGCCTTTTAGTTCTCTGTACAAGATGACAAAGATAGAAATAATTAGCCTCCAGCTATCATCTCCATGGTTTGGATCAACAGGATATGTTTCACCATAGTTATGAACATCCATGACAAGGAATGGTAGTGCCTGAAGTGAAGCTGATACTCACATAGTCTGCAAATTTGGAAGGCTGAAAAG